GTGTGGGGCCTAGCCCGCGTCCGTGGACAGGGTCACGAGAGGTACTTCTTGATAGTTGTTGACGACTACTCGCGCTACACTACGGTCTTCCCCTTGCGCACCAAGGGTGAAGTCCCTGATGTTTTGATCCCTTGGATCCGCGCTGCCCGTCTCCAGCTCAGCGAGAGGTTCCACTCGGACTTTCCTGTTCTGCGACTGCACTCTGACAGAGGTGGGGAGCTTTCCTCCGACCTCTTGAGGGACTTTTGTCGTGGGGAGGGCATTGAGCAGTCGTTCACGCTTCCGGCCTCTCCACAGCAGAATGGGGTTGCTGAGCGCCGCATTGGCTTGGTCATGGAGGTCGCTCGTACCTCCTTGATCCATGCGGCTGCCCCCCACTTTCTGTGGCCGTTTGCGGTCCGATACGCTGCGCATCAGCTCAACCTCTGGCCCCGTGTCTCCGTTCCGGAGACTTCGCCGACACTGCGTTGGACGGGAGAGGTTGGCGATGCGTCGGTGTTCCGGGTCTGGGGATCTCGTGCTTTTGTCCGCGATACGTCCGCGGACAAGCTCTCCTCCCGCGCTGTTCTTTGTGTCTTCCTTGGCTTTGTCCCGGACGCGTCTGGTTGGCAGTTTTACCACGCCACCTCGCGCCGTGTCCTGCCCTCTCAGGACGTCACTTTTGACGAGTCGGTCCCCTTCTACCGCCTCTTCCCTTACCGCACTGCCCCGCTCCCCCCCCCCCCCGCCTCTCTTCCTCGCACCAGGTGCTGCTGTGGTAGACCCCCTCCCCCCTCAGGGTGCCGCTCCCTCAGGTGTGTCCCAGGTAGACCCGGTTGAGCCTGTCGAGGTAGCTGTCGACTCTCGTCCTGCTAATGGTGCTGAGCCTGAGCGTGCGGAGCCTGGGGTTGCGGAGCCTGCGGGTGCTGAGCCTGAGCGTGCGGAGCCTGGGGGTGCTGAGCCTGCGGGTACGGAGCCTGGGGGTGCGGAGCCTGGGGGTGCTGAGCCTGAGGTTGCTGAGTCTGGGGGTGCTGAGCCTGAGAGTGCTACGTCTGAGGGTACTGAGCCTGGGGGTGCTGCGACTGACCGTGCGGCGCCTGGAGGCGCTCCCTCTTCACAGCAGCTGCGTGAGTGGTACTCATGGTACTGCAGCCTCAGGAGGGGCGCTTCTGGGGCTAGGGGTGCTGCTGGAGCTGGCACTCGTGGTTCCCCGCCTAGGCGGGAGCCGCCCTCTCCCCAGCGGCTCCGAGAGTGGTACGCTCGGCGCTGCAGTCTCCGGAGTGGCGCTGCTGGTGCTTTGGACCCTGGAGCTGGAGTTGCTGCTGGTGCCGCGGACCCTGGAGTTGGAGCTGCTGCTGGTGCTGAGGACCCTGCCGTTGGAGCTGCTGCTGGTGCTGAGGACCCTGGAGCTGGAGCCGCTGCTGGTGCTGCGGACCCTGGAGCTGGTGCTGCTGGTGCAGGAGCTGCTGGTGGTGCTGCTGGAGGTGCTGCTGGTGCTGGAGCTGCTGGAGGTGCTGCTGGTGCTGCTGGAGGTGCTGCTGGTGCTGGAGCTGCTGGAGGTACTGCTGGTGCTGGAGCTGCTGGAGCCGCTGGTTCTGGAGGTGCTCGTACTGGAGGTACTGGTGCTGCTGGGACTGGAGCCGCTGCGGGGGTTGGAGCTGGAGTTACTGGAGCTGCTGGAGCTGCTGGTGGTGCTGCGGGAGTTGTAGCTGGAGACCCTGGGGCTGAGGGTGCTGGTGCTGTCTCTGCTGGTTCAGGAGGTGCTGCGCGGCCGCGGCCGTACTACGTTCCGCTCCTTCAGCAGGTTCTTGACCTCCCGCCCTCTACTGGTCCTACTCCTCCCCTACTGAGTCCACCACCTGTTCAGTCGCAGTCACAGTTACCACTTGCCTCTCCGCTGCCTGATCCTTCTCCTTACGCTGGGCCGACTAGAGGTCTTACGGAGCGTCGTGAGCCTGAGTCTCGTCTTGCGTCGCCTGAGTCTCGTCCTGCGTCGCCTGAGTCTCGTCCAGAGTCGTCTGTCCGCGCTGTCCGCGCTGGTCGTCGTGCTCCACGCCAGCGTCCTCCTCCTGTACTTGGCACTCACTATATGACTCTGCGTCCTTCCACTGCTCCACAGCGTGACAGAGAGGGAGAGAGAGGGAGAGGGAGAGAGAGAGAGAGAGAGAGAGAGAGAGAGGGAGAGAGAGAGAGAGAGAGAGAGAGAGAGAGAGAGAGAGAGAGAGAGAGAGAAGCGCCAGGTGGAGCAGAAGCGGTTATCCACGCAGCCAGGGCATTTCTTGATGCCCGTCCCGACAGCCTGGTACTGCAGACGGACATTTCAAATGCCTTCAACAGTATTTCACGACAAGCCATCGCAACAGCGTTACAGGAGCCTGGCCTCTCGCCACTGCTGCCGTTAGTTCATCTGACTTACGGTAACCCGTCGCTGCTGCACCTGGACGCCAACTTCAGCAGCGAACCACTGAAAAGCGAACGCGGTGTTCGCCAGGGCGACCCACTCGGCCCGTTACTATTTGCAGCGGGTATACACCCCATACTCCGCGAAACGGCCGAGGCATATCCGGACGTGCTCTGCCTGGCGTACGCGGATGGCGTCACCTTTTTGGGGGAGACACCACAAACTGTAGCAGCTTTCACGTACTTCACCGACAAACTGGCCCACATAGGCCTAACGCATAACCCGCAGAAGTGCGCAGCCTGGAGCGCGTCCACGGTAGAACAGGCGCAGCTACCACACGGAGTTCCGCATTCAAAGGAGGGCGTGCGGCTTCTGGGAAGCTACCTGGGATCCGATACGGGAGCGGCCAAATTCCTATCAGGGCAGCTAGAAGAGATGGCAAAGCCATTACACCTCCTTGAACGAGCTGACCCTCAGGTAGCTTCTCTGCTACTTACCCGCTGCATCTCCAGGCGTGTGGCTTATCTCACTAGAACGACACCCCTCCACCTACTCCCTCGCGATACTTGGAGCCGGTGGGGACGGGACCTGCTCATTGCTCTGCTAGTGTCATGCGATATCCGCGTCCCCACGTGTGGATCCGAGCAGGCTCGTGTATGGGCGCAGGCGTCACTGCCACCATCACTGGGCGGCATAGGCCTCACGGACCCCTTAATAGAAGGGGTGTACGGGTACACGGCGAGTTTCACCCAGGCGGCGCTCTTTCTCTCCTCCCTCGCGCTAGAACCAAACAACGCCTTGATCCAAGCTCGGAATCACATGCTCCTGCCCCGGGACGATACCACACCACTACACACATGGCTTACCGAGTGCGAAGCGGCATTGCCATGGGATGCGCGGGAGATCCTGGAGAAGGAGCGACTGAAACGGTCGGATGTTCGGCTACAACACGTACTCGGCCTGAAGGTCCACGGAAGCAGATACGCCGTGCAGGTGCAGGGCACAAGGCGCATGAAGCCGAACCCCCTCTCAGGCCACACGCAGCGGATGTTCTTGCTAACGGGATACGGCACCGGTGACTGGCTGACCGCGATCCCCATTGCCCCAAACAGACGGATAGGACCAAGTACACTTCGCCAACTCCGTGCGCTTTTGGCTCGGGCTCCCGTTTTCAACGCCAAAGAACTGCGACTGCTCTGACCACACAGCTATCACCGACCCCCGCCTCCCAAATCACCTCTTCCGCTGCGGCACGGGCAAGCACCGCATTAACACCCACAACGAGCTGCGGGACGCATGCATTAGCATGGCGCAGGATGCGGGGTTTATAGTTCACAGCGAGTCGGCCGCCCACTGCCCCATCGAAGAACAGACGGCCGATTTCACCATGACAGATAGAAGCAACGGGGCGGTCTATGTCTGTGATGTTACCATCACGGACCCCATCAGCACAAGGGACCCAGAGGCACAGAAAGGCAGGGGTTGGGCGGCACGAGAGCAGGCCGACAAAAAGATAAAGCATTACGCAAACCGACCGGAGACGGTTGGCTTCTTCCCTCTGGCTGTGGAAACCTACGGCTGCCCATGCGTCGAGGTACCAGTTTTCCTGAAGCTCTTGGCAGACACGGCGGCTCGGCGCCACTTCAACACCGACTCTAAATCCTTTCATGCCGCTAAGTTTCTGCACCAGTTCAGACAAAGATGGTCGGTGGCCCTTCAGAGGGCCCAATCTGTGGGCCTCCTACTCAAGCTAGGCGAGGCGGCAGCAGCAGAGAACCCGCATGTAGGCGGTATTGGGCAGGAGCTGAACCTAGGGGACTGTTTTGCGGTGGTCGAGCCCTTCCAAGAGCTCTAGAGGAGGTAGTCGGTAGGATTTGTTGCTTTGCTTGTTTGTTACCTATGCCTCTATAACTTGCATGCTTGTACTTTGCTGCTATATCAATACAAGGACCATTAGAGAGAGAGAGAGAGAGAGAGAGAGAGAGAGAGAGAGAGAGAGAGAGAGAGAGAGAGAGAGAGAGAGAGAGAGAGAGAGAGAAGCGCCAGGTGGAGCAGAAGCGGTTATCCACGCAGCCAGGGCATTTACTCTCTCGAGTTCAGGGCATCCACGAAGTGGTGAGTTCAGTTTACTCTCCAAAACCGGCGGCTCGCTCGAGAGAGAGCGAGAGAGAGAGAGAGAGAGAGAGAGAGAGAGAGAGAGAGAGAGAGAGAGAGAGAGAGAGAGAGAGAGAGAGAGAGATGGCCAAGGACTAGTCCTTAGCCGTTTTAGCCCTCTCTAGTGTAGATTCTAGTCCTTAGCCGTTTTCCAGCCTAGTTTCCTAGTATAAAGCCTCTAGAGGCACCCCTTTGAGCTCATTCTTCACTGGTGAGTTCAGTTTACTCTCCAAAACCGGCGGCTCGCGCCGGCCGCCTTCGGCGGCCGTCGCTCGCCGGCGCGGCCTCCGGCCGCGCGTGAGGTGTGACAAGGGTAGAGGGAAACAAGGATTATAACGGCAAGCAATACAACATGCAGTAGCGGCAACCTACTCCAACAGCACCACCCCCAGGCGTGGACTAACCGCCATGGGGATGCCCAAGCCCAAGCCTAACAACAACAAGGCTGGCGAAGGGGACGCAACGCCTACTCTACAAGGAGCCACACCAGCCGGCCGTCCAACCAGCGCAGCACGGATGCCGCGGCCGGAAGCAAGCCGAATGGACCCTGCTGAGCACATGCTGCCAGGCGCCTCACGGCAGCCGGCCCAGGGCCAGCGGCAATCCCGGGAGACCCCATATCTAGCCCCAACTGTGGGAGAGACTCCAGCACCTCGTCCGCTGCAGCAGCGGCCAGCTCCCGCTCCCCCGCTGCTAGAGGCGGGCACTTCACCTTGCGGCGCACCAGGCACGCGTGGAGCTGATCCAGGATCGTTGCCACCTGGTTCAGGCAGTAGCCTGCGGTCACTACGTGCTGCTCGACGAGCAGCAGCCTCTCCGCAGGTGAACGTTCCTCCCACAGGCTCCAGCGCTCGTCAAGGGTTGGTGCAGGCGGCACAACGGGGCCTTCTCCTGCCACTGGGTACCCCAGCACATCCCACGGAATTGGGATTTGACGGCCGCCAAGAAACAACTGCGGATACCCCGCTGGCACTGCTGGCGGAGCAGTCAAGGCGGAGGACCGAGGAGGCGGTGGCGGAAGAAGGGGAGCCGGCGCAGAGCTGGTCGGCAGCGGCGGCGTCATCGGCTGTACCTGGTCCGCCGGCGCTGCTGGAGATAGCTGCGCCTGTGTGGCCAGCAGAGGGGGAGGCGGCTGAACCGGGGACTGGAGAGGAGGTGGAGGTGGCGCCTGAGATCGCCGCTGTTGCTGGCGCTGGCGTCGGCTCATTTTCGCCCGCTGCCATGGAGACTGTCGCACTACCTGCGCATACGACACGGGCGGAGGCGGAGGTGCAGGGTTAAGCGGGAGAACAGGGGCGGGCGGAGGAGCAGGAGCGGGGGGAGGAGCAGGGACAGGCGGAGGGATCGGCGGCGGCGGCGGGGCCACCTGAACTGGCGGCTGCAGCTGCGGCAGTTGCAGAGGAGGTACGCGAAGTCGATCTGGCCGAGGAGGTCGGTGCGGCTGACGCTGCGAGCGCCGGAACGTCTGCTGCTGCCGCGGACGCAAGCACGCAGGGGCGCGGCCAGGGGGGGAGTGATAGACAGCCTCGCGGGACCGGTGCTGCTGCCCACGCCGCCCGCGCGAAAGCCGGGAAGAAGCTCCGCGCCCAGCCAGCGCCGAGGCGGCCCGGAGCAGGGCTGGGACCTGGCGCCCCGGGACCCCTCCGGGGCTGGCTTCTGCAAGGGCAGTTGCCACAAGCGCAAGCGCATCCACCTCCATCACACGAAGCATGCGAGGGAGACGAAGGCACAAGTCAGCCCGCAGCAAGTACTGCCGTTCACGGACGGGAGGATCACGGGGCACAAGACGAAACAGCACCTGACATCGTGCTTACCCGCCGAGCAGGAACCATGGCCCAGCAACAAACGCGCCGTGAAACGCGCAGCAGTACGCGTGTCCAAGGAATTGTCTGGGGACGGCCGGCTATGACGCGTAACGGTGCACCACAAACACCGTGGCTGCCGGCGGGAAGGGCGCCACAAGCTGGACGGGGTGGACGAAACACCGTGACTCCCGCAAGAGGAGAAACCGCAGCCCGCGGTGGTCGCGGTGGGCGCGGCGGAGCGAGAGGGGCAAGAAGCGGAAGAGGCGCACTCGTGGGCGGAAGGGAGGCGCTGCTCAGATCGGGAACGTGGCGGGAACACCACGATCGGCCAGAGAGAGACGTGGCCCCAGCGTATCAGGACGAAGAGGGTGCTGACAACCCAGATGACGAGGAGGAATTTATCCCCTCCCAGTCACATGCCACAGAGGAGATCTCGTTGGAGGAGGAGGGAGGCACACCAAGGGGGCGCCAGAGGAGAGGGGGTACAGGGGCGGGGCAAGGCGGGACATCTGCCCCAACCGGAGCAGAAGCTGCTGCCGCCGCTGCTGACGGTTCGGCGAGAGAGGGAGCGGGAGAATCAAGCGTGTTATCGCCGGCTGAGCTGGCAGCAAACGACGCCATCTGGCAACGGGCAGCCACGTGGGATGTAGCTAATCTCCAGCGGGGGGACCAACCTTTTCTGGTCCGCAGAATGCCGCCGAAAATCTTGGAGAGTTACACCCTGTGCGTCCTGTCACCACTCCTCCGCCTTTCGAAAAATCCTCACTGTCCAGGAGCATGGGCGATATTACAGTTCCTTCCGAGGCTGACCCTCCGCCCGCTCCCCGAACCAGTCGAAGGGTCACGTTGGGTGGGGATTGAAGGGAGGCTGCATCAATTCCAGCGAGGTGACTGGGAAGGGCTTTTCGAGGAGGCAAGCGTCATCCCCGTCACTGAGAATCCGATTCGACACCAAGCCGATGATACGGGACTCTGCGCAAGGGCGGAGGGTTTAATCCGTAAGGGAAATATTTCAAAGGCCGTTGCGGCGTTACGGACAACCCCGCTTGCAGACACTACACCAGAAACACTCGCAGCCCTGCAAGCGAAGCACCCAGCTGCAGGTTCGCCAACGCCGCGGTGTGTAACCGGTTATACCCAATCTACGCTGAAAGTCAGCCCTGACGACCTTCGCGAAATCCTCAAACGGTGCCCAAACGGGGTGGGAGCAGGACCTTCAGGCACCTGCTTTGAACACCTCAAAGATCCTGCACTCGCGAATGAAGAAGTCCTCATCCAACTCGCTACGTCCATCTCATACCTCCTTAGTACCTTCCAGACACAAGCCGTCCAGGACCTGCTGTTACCATCGAGACTCATAGCGCTGGAAAAGCCGGGAGGAGGTGTTCGTCCAATAGCGATTGGAGAGGCACTACTGCGGGTTGTGGCGAAAGCGGCCCTCAAGGAACTCTCCCAGAACATCCGCGAGTTTTTCCTACCCGTACAGTTCGGCGTGGCAGTAACGGGCGGCGCGGAGTGCATCGTTCATTCAGTTAGGTCACTGCTGACGGAGGACGAGACTCGTATCGCCCTGCAGATCGACATTGAGAATGCCTTCAATAGTGTTGAACGCGCAGGCTTCTTTACAGCGCTCTCGCAGTCCAGTCTACTCTCGCTACTGCCACTCGTTCGCACGCTCTACGACAAGCCGTCACGCCTACTCGTGGACCATAGACTCGGTGTCGACCATATCGTGAGCGCGCGGGGAGTTAGACAAGGCGGTCCGCTAGGACCCCTTCTGTTCGCGGCTGCGATCCAGCCCACTCTGTTAGGCACGGCGACACTGCTTCCCGAGGTAGCAGTCGTCGCGTACGCCGACGACATTACGATCGTCGGCCCTCGAGATGCTGCCTACGAAGCCTTCAAGAACATCACGAGGGAGCTCGCAACGCTTGGGCTCCGCTGCAACATCGCGAAGTCAACGGGTTGGGCTGCAAATGAAGGGGAAAATGAGATACCACCACCTGAGGGCCTGCCGATGAGCACCGCGGGCATAGGCGTCTTGGGGAGCCCGATAGGCACGGCGGAATTCTGCACCGACAAGGCACATGAACGCCTCCAGGATGCGGCGGTGCCACTACCTCTGATTGCCCAGCTGCACCCCAGCACACCTTGCTCGTCCTCTCAAAGAGCATCTCCCGCAGAATCTCCTACCTGCTTCGTACGACACCGGCGGAGGTACTAGACCGGGAGGAGTGGAGGACTTGGAGCGAGTCCTTGATGGCAACGGCATTAGCGGCGGCCAAGCTACGGGTCCCAGCCAGTGAGCTAGAACAGAGCCTTCTGTGGCGGCAGGGAACGCTACCTGTCAGGCTGGGGGGACTTGGTATCATCGACCCGACCTCAGAAGCACCTGCAGCATACATTGCGTCAATCACGGCAGCCCAGCAGCTACTTAAACAGATGAACCTTCCGGAGATGTATCTACTGAGCAGGGCAACGACACTACTGGACCATGGTTGGGTCCCAACCCCTCCTGAGGTCAACCCGCTGACCACTCTTGAGACGACCCTCCCAGCAACGGCGAGAACCGCCTTACAGGCGTACATGGAGCGGCCGGTAGGACAGGGAAATCTGCAGCTGACGTTGTCGCGCCACATCAACGAGACACGGGCAGCTGAGTTGCTGGCGGACACAATCACAGACCGGCCCGGCACGGACCGCGGCCATGCAGTGCGCCTCATCAGCCTGCAAGGGGTGGGGGCGGGGGACTGGCTACATGCCGTGCCGACGAGATCTGACCTTACATTTGCCCCTGGTCAGTTCTCGTTGGCATTGGGCTTCCGCCTGGGCATGTCTCTGCCGGTCACTGTGAAATGCCCCTGCCTGAGAGGGAACTCCAGCATCACAGACACAAGCCTGGCGAACCACCTCCTACGTTGCGGTTATGGCGGGGATGTGGTCAGAACGCACAATGCGCTGGTGTATGCCGCTCTCAGAATGGTGAGGGAAGCAGATTTCACGTGCTTCCACGAGACGACAGCATTCTCCCCACCGGTATTCAGGAAGAGGGGGGACCTGGCCATCAGGGACAAAGAGTCCAATGAGACTTGGGTGACGGATGTAACGGTGACTGATCCAGTACTGCAGCGGCAAGACACACGGGCGAGGAAACCGCCGGGGTGGGCAGCGAGGGAAGCTTCAGAGTCAAACAACTGCAAGGCTCACAGCTCACTACAGGCAGCGGTGGTCGGTCATGCTGCAGCGCTCTCAGGCAACTTCCTTCCTGAACAAGTCGAACATTGCAGATGAAGCGGCCTTCCCCCAGGCTGCGAGGGACCCCTGGGAGCCTAGCCTAGGGGATCTTTGGCAGGTGCTGGAGGATGAGATGGAGGAGGAGTGGACTCAGTGAGTAGGAGGAGCTATAGGCTAGCCGATTAGCCATGGTTCTGCTGCTGTAGGATAGGCCTGTTTGCTTACTTGTCATGTGTGTCATGCCCGGCCTTGCATTGCCTTGCCTGCCTTGCATTGCCTGCCTTGCCTTGCCTTGCCTGCCCCCCCCGGCCGTCCTGCCTGTTTGCAGATATCCAGCCCGCTGCATGTACCTGCCTTGCATGTTTAGCTGCTTCAATGCCTAGGCCTGTCTAGCACCTATCCCTGCCTTGCCTGTACTCCTATGAACCTATCAATGAAGGACTGCTTGAGAGAGAGAGAGAGAGAGAGAGAGAGAGAGAGAGAGAGAGAGAGAGAGAGAGAGAGAGAGAGAGAGAGAGAGCTATAAAAAATCCTCGCCTTCGACCTCTCAGTCTTCCCCGCAAACGCCCCCGCTTGTCCCAGAATGACAAACGAAGAACTCTGCAACTGCTACATGCGCTCGCCCGCACTCCGCGCGCCCCTAGACCTCTGGCACAAATGGCTCGGTCATCCCTCGTACAGAGTACTGAACAAAAGCATACGCGCCAGTGTCTTCACGCTATGAGTTCTCCTACGACCAGCTGGCGACGAGCTCAGCGCAAACAGCGCCCCCCCCTTGCTGCATGATCTGTCCGCAAACCGCGCTTCTTCATCAAGCGTTCAAGCTCATCGAACCAAGCACTAATCGTTACGAGAAGCTGCAAAGGGTCTACAACAATTTCCTCGTCCTCACTCACACAGAGATCAACGGCGAGGAGTACACGCTGAATCGTTGACGCCCACTCTCGTTTCATCTGAATCGCCAACGACGCGCTGCGAAGCAAGGCCTACGACTTCTTCAAATTTTGGCTAAGCAACGCGCAGACTCAGTCTGGCCGCACAATCGAAGATATGGCAAACACACTGCATAGCCGAATTCAAGAGCAAGGAGTTGAAGGATTTCACGGACGAAAAGGGGATAATTCACAAGCTGTCCCTCCCCTACGCGCAACCACAGCAAGGAGTTGCGGAACGTACAAACCGCACCCCCATGACAAAGGTTCTGGCACTGATGCATCAATCCGGCGTGGACACCAAGTACTAGCCTTACGCCATACACCACGCCATCCGTCTCCACACCTGCTGTCAACAACCGCAAACAAAGTCAAGTTGTCCTCTCGCCTGAAATCTACAGGAGAAAAGGGCGATGCTTCAATGCACAGTGTGTGGGGATGCATGGTACAGTACCGACCGGCCACTGCACTACAGTTCTCGCGATGCACTCAGTGGAGACTACATCGCAAAATGCCTATCTTTGCGACAGATTGGCGTGAACAACGCCTTCCTGTATGTAAAGGTTGGCGCGCTGATCTTTGTCTTCCAGCTGCACGCATATGGTGACAGCGACAACCGCGTGTGTCAGTTGAAGGAATCACTGTACGTCATCAAACAGGCACCACGACTTTGGCAACAACACCTTCTTCAAATTCTTCTGGCCATCAGCTTCGTGCACCTCCCACATGACCCAGGAATGTATCGAATTCATTTCCGCGGCGAGTACATCCTCCTGACAGTCTACGTAGATGACCTACTCTTCATAGGGACCAGCGAAGACCTCCTTGACCTACAGTGCAAGCTAGCTCGCTCAATTTTCGTAGCTACCTGAAGGGGAGAAAATGCTGGACCTCCAGCGGGCACTGCAGTATTTTATCTCCACACCACACATCGGCCTCACCGTTTCCACAATCACGACTCACTCATTCTACCTTGTTGGCTACGTCAACGCAGTTCACGCAGCAGATTCGACCAATCGACGGCTACGAACCGGCTTCCTATTTGGCTCGAACCCACTGTGCCAATTCCCTGGAATTCCCAGAAGCAGGAAATTATGGCGCTCTCCTCTGCCGAAGCCAAGTTTATTGATGCCACATCTGCAGTTCGCGAAGGAATTTTACCTTCAGTAGTCCGAAAGGAACCTGGCGCAGCGCGTCGACATCACCATTAACCACAAAGTCACACAGTTCAAGGGGCTCAACATCACTTACGCGCCAGAAGCAATTCACCTGTCAGCTTCTAAGTACGCAGAGGAACTGGGGGAGCGATTCAAGATTTCACCCGCACCACTCTCAACTCCCTATCGATCGCCCAGCACCAACCACAAACCGGACAACAAACCTCTGTCACCTGCAGGACTCCACCTCTACCAGCAGCAGTTGGGATGTCTTCTGTTCGCCTCTGTCACATGCCGA